ATTGAAAATACATTTTGGTCCAAAAATAACAAAAACTACGACTTTATTCAGCATTGTATTGTCTTCCGGTTCTGTTGTCAATCCGCTTCATTGACGCTTTTGGAGCGTCACTGAAGCGATATTTTGGAGTGATTCCTCTCCTTTCTGCCGTTAACGTTAAAGTTGTGATGTGGACTCAGGTGTTCTTTTATATTTACGATTTACGATTTTTGGAAATATGTATCGTTATAGTTATTGTCCCTGGTGTGAACGGGCCTTTATACTGGCAAACTTGACAAGAACTCTCGTAAAACTTGTTGTATGTCCGATGTGGTTGTAATTCAACATTCGGTGGTTGTGTAAATACATTTAGTCTGCCGCTCTGTACTGCATTAAAAAGTCACTCAGTATTTGTTGCTTAGATGTGGCTTCAATGCAGAGTAAAAATCAGCAATGCAGCCATAACTCATAACTCAGCGAGGGGCCCCCGCACGGGACTGTCCCAAACGCCGGTGCTTCTATTGTTGTCCAAGTAAATGATGTAACTTCTGTTTCTCATTGAGGGAATTTGTTGAGATTGTTAAATTACACAGCTGCTGGTTCAGAGAAGTGCAGAAGAGATCTGGCTTTATGCTTGGGAGATGCGAGATATCTTTTACATTGATGTCTTCACATATTTCTCTTGTGGGAAAAGTCAACCTGTTTTCTTTAGTCTGAAAACAAAGTTGAGTCTCAGCAGTGTTTTTGTCAAGAAAACATCAAAAGATTCTCATTATGTGACCACTGATGCGTTTGAAATGTTTACTGTTCAGCCACATGTTACTTTTACACACACTGAAAACATATCTGCTCGCTTAACAGCCATTAATGAGTGACTAACATTTTTATAGATGTCATTTGCTACTGAATATCTGTTCCGTGTTGTTTTAAAATTGTTTATACTTTTACTGTAGGCCTATATACATTTTTCAATTTTCTGTGGAACTGCTCTTATCTTGATTTTAACCTTAACTGGGTTAAAGGGTTAAAAGTAACTGGATTAAGATGAACTGGGGACGAACAGAGAGAGTTTGGGGTCTGATGAGGGACTTCAGGCCAGTGCTGTGTTCACACTATATCTATACTCTACAAAAAGTCAGTCAAAAATAAGGCACATTATGCTGTTAATATGAATTAATTTTCCATTTTGCTTATTCACAGCTTTTTTACCCCTAGTTTGAATTACGCATTATGTCTGTAAATTTAACTGATAATGTCATGGCAGAAAATTACCTGCACTTTTTCAGTTTTTCTACATTTATTTTTCTTATAGTGCTGCATTCATTGTGTTTTATGCAAACACACACATTTAGTTTACTGTGGTGTATTACACGGTGTTGTTGCAAATGAACATGTCACCACAGTAACGTTATCTAGTTGGCTGACATAGATTAGGTTCTGTCTAACTGATTTGTGATAGTCTTGGAAGCATGCTAGCATTGGTAGAAAGTTATAAACAAATGAGTAATGTTTTGGAACGTATGTCCTCATTTTCCAGAAAAATTGCATTTATAAATTACAGCTGTAATGGAGTTACATTACAGCCAGTGTTGCAATATAATTTTCATTATATCATTTAAATTCCAGTATATAATATAAATAGAATTTATTTTATTTTATTTTAAATAGTTTGTTGTAAATAGTTTGTTATTATTCAATGAAAAATAGACATTTATTGTTTGAACTATAATGTGTGTGTGTGTGTGTGTGTGTGTGTGTGCGTGTGTGTGTGTGTGTGTATATATATATATATATATATATACAGTATACTTCTTTTTTTAAATAATGAATTCATTAATATTATGCTACTGTAATTTTTTGGGGGGGGATCTGTAAGATTTTTTACATTTTTTTTAAAGAAGTTTCTAATGCTCACCAAGGCTGTATTTATATAATAAAATTGAATTCCAATTTAAAAATGTAGTTTATTTCTGTGATGCCAAGCTGGATTTTCAGCATCATTACTCAGTGTCACATGATCCTTCAGAACTCATTCTAATAGGATGATTTCCTGCTCAAGAAACATTTCATCAGGAACTGTGATCTCTCTTTTGATTTGTCTCTCTCAATGTTATTCTCTGAAGCTTGTAGAAACTTGATTTTTGCCATTTCTGTTCATCACTGGAAAGGACAAAATGTAAGAGTTTTAGGCGCTCCCGGGAGAGGCTCGAGCAACTGTCTGATACAATAGCCTGAACCTTACACTGTGTGCCACACACACACACACACACACACACCCTCTGGCTACTCACTCGGATGAGCCTGTCCACACAGGACGAGCAGGTGCTTCATCTTGATCATGTCGTTCTACTGGGTGTGCTTCAGGACTGTTTAACTGAATGAAATAAATGACAGATTCTTTTCATCCTTTTTGCGTATACTTATCCTAAAATATAATTTGGTGGTTAACTAATGTACTCCATAAATGTTTCAGTGATGTCACACTTCATCATCATGGGCCTCAATGGCCAACTGTGTCCAAAACGAATACCGTAGTCATGGCTGCATTCAATTACAGTGATGACCTAAATATTACCTCATCACTCTGAAAACAATAACTCGTTTTTTTGCATCTTTAGAAAGAGGGCTTTCCCCAAGATCTTTATAAAAGCACATCTCTCGTCAATGAGCTGCATGAGATCATTTATGTCTGTAGCAAATTGGTGTTACTCATCATAGTTTAATACCTAGGGTTAGATCGTGTTTTTCACATGTAAATCATGAGTTTATGGTTTGTGAAATGATATCTTTGTATAATTGCTAACAGCATGTGTGTGTGAAGGTACAATATTGTCCAGTTCGATATCCAGAGCTGATTATAATTCCCCCATCTGGATTCATCATCGTCTGTTGTCAATAACACCAGCAATAAGTCTTTTACACCCTCTCATAACAGAGCATCTGGATGTGTGTATGAGAGTGTGTTTCTGTTCATTATGTCCTTGGTTGGTTTTATTAACAACCATAAATTTGTCAGTGAAACATTGATAAATGATGGTGGCAATGAAATACTGTTCTTAAATCATTATTTTTATTCACTGTCTGACTTTTGTGCAAGCAATAACTGCCTTTAGATAAATGTTCTTTATATCCTAACATATTTCCCCCTGCAACTATACAACTTATTGTACTAATACTGCCATAATATTTATGATTTCCCTCTGGCAGGGGATAAAACAAGTGGGAAATATTATAGAATTACATAGAAGCAAGGACCCAAGCTATATCTAGAAATCAGAAAATAATAGAGACCAGGGCTCTGTTTGAGGAACATCCCACAAAAGTCTAGCATTCACTTCCCTTTTCTTCAGAATATGTAAACAACATTTTACATTTTTCTTTGTAACAAAAGTTGTAATATAATAAAATATATATTATATTTATTAGCTATATATATATGTAATGTTATATATAAAAAATTATATGTAATGTTATATTATTATAAAAAAGAATTAATTTGTGATAAAATTTTAAAATGAAAAATAGGTAATATGAAATAAATGATATTAATTCTAAATTAATTCTACATTTTGAAATTGTGATATATATATATATATATATATATAGATGTGTGTATATATATAATAACATATATATATGGCATATTTATTTATTAATTTGTAATAACATTGTCAAATTATATTAAAAAAGTTATTGTAATGTTACTGTAAAATATGGTAAAATATTTACTTGATTTGTAAAAATAAAATAAAAAACTTGCAAAAAAAGAAGCTAGTCAGATGAAACTTAAATTCAATAAAGTATGAAAAATACCCAGAAAAACAGTTCAAATGACAAACAAATTATAACAAAGTAATATGTTATTATATATAATATATTACTTTGTTATAATTTGTTTGTCATTTTGAACCTATGTCTTTCATCTGGGTATTTTTCATACTTTATTGAATATAAGTTTCATCTGACTAGCTTCTTTTTTTTTGCAGGATGGTCGTAACATGCCCGCCCTTTCACCTCATCCTAAACCATGAGGATTCTCATTTTATCTAATGTTATGTGACAGCTTCTAGTGAACCTATCTAGCACAAGTCTTCAGTGTGCACTAAAGCGGATGCTGTCTGTGCATGGACTAGTCCACAGCACAAAGCCATGCTTCATCCTTGAGCTCTGCCACACATGAGTGCTTAGAGAAAGCTTGCTGGAATCCATAGCCCTGTGGAGGCTGGAGATAAGGTGTATGTGCGCTTGGGAAGGGCTCACGTTACACGCTGAAACTCATGCCACCCAGGAACTGTTACCATATGAAAGCAGACTGTTTTGAAAGGAGAGTACCGCCTGGCTCGGCTCTTTGTGTCAGCGTGATAACACCGGCTATGCCAGACGGAACGTGTTAAATTGTCTCTATCACAGCTAATGAGTTTGAGGTCAGTGGCTGAGGATTTCTTAGACAAGCCACACAGAAAGGCTGTGCGATCCAAAGCAATTTACTGGAGGTTTGTGTATGTTGTGGCAGGCGGATGGTTTGGGTGTGGGGCGTTTGTTGATGTGTGTCACATTTGGGGTTTTGGTCTGTCTTGTTTGTCTGCGTGTGTCACGCTTGAACAGTAATTTGACAGTGATTACTACATCACTCACAGAAGATATTTTCATTGACTGAAGCTTGGCCTATGATGTCTGAAATGTGCCTTTTCTCCCAGCATTTCACCAGTGGAAGGAATGTATTTGGACAGATGAGGTGTTTCTCCCTGTAGGGAAGAAATAAGTCATTGGAGATCTCTTTAATGTGAGAAATGTTCCTGCTTGACAGCAGTGAGACGTCATTGAGAGCAAGTTGAGATTTTTGTCTTCAGGAAAAAGGCCTAATCCGTTGAACTGGTGATTCATTTTGGTAAATCTGCTCAAATGAACTGATTCACTAGAATGAATCGGGCTTTCCGATGCTGCATGAGTATTATGTATTCAGTAAATGGTAATTATATACAATTATAGCTTGCTTCCTACTTTTTTCTACCTCTTTGCAGAGGAGCTGGAAGCAGAAGATGCCACGCTGGTCGATACATGTACCATGAGGAGCACAGGAGATCTACGCTAAAGACAAACAGGAGAAAACAGTTCACCTGGATACATTTCACAGGTAAACAGTCTTTTTTTCAAGTACAAGATTACTTGTAAGCATATAAGTCTCATATTTTCAATAAAAAAAAAAAATCCATGTCCAGAAAGCAAAAGGATTTCTACTGCAGCTGCTTGAATATAAGGCCAATTGTATCTCAGCTCCCAGATTCAATGAAGAAAATATCCAAAAGTCTTTTGGAGTAGTTTGGACATGTACCATGTTAATACTAAATTATTCTTTGAAGAATCATGAATATTCTGTGGTTTATGTAATATTATCAATATGATATCATCAGTTCTGTCACAATATCCAGGTTAGGAGACTATAAAATATTCTTAGTTATTTTTATTAAATTGGATAATGGATTCTTAAAACTGATTAAACTAAACCGATTTTGACATAAATATAGATATATGACACCATCTGCAGCTAAAAATCTTTTTTGAATATTTCACTGTTATTTTATTATTTAAATATATGACCATCAGTTCAATAAATATGCATTGTTTTCATTATATGAATTGGCCAGTATTAAAAGTAGATCATTTTTTCAGATTTAGACAGTACACTTTTGTCTATACAGTATAAAACAAAAACAGTTATCCATCTACTTGAACTTTTTCACTACTTGAAAATAAGAAGTGCCTGAAAAAAAAGTGCATCTCACAAATATTTCAGCATGCATGTAAAATACTAGATTAGAGCTTTATTGTGAAGCTGTTTGTGGAAAATCTTTAGATCTACAGATATCAGCCATTATATAGTTTATCTACCATTCTTTAGCTGCCGTAATATAATTACTGGATAGCATCTGTGCATCACAATGCAGAAGAAAATCGGAAGAAATTTGGCATCATATTTGTCTGTATGCTGGTATTGTGTGTGATCAAACCTAACATGAATCTGTGCTGTACTCAGGTCACGTTAAACCCATGCGGTGGTCCATGCTTGCCCTGCTGCTCTTGTCCTGCAGCCAGATGTTTGCCCAGCGCCCAGGTGACATCTGCTTACAAAACAACCACCACGGACAAGACGTCACAGCCATCCCTGTGCCAACCGTGGATCCCAAACTCTTCAACAAGAGACGGTACCGCTCGCCCCGCGTACTTTTCAGCGAACACCCCCCCGACTCGGAGCCCACTGGGCACCGGATGAGGAGCAGGACGAAGAGGAAAGCAGGACCGCCTCAACACCGCGGCGTTTACTCCGTCTGTGAGAGTGTCAGCACTTGGGAGGGAAACAAAACCAAAGCTACAGACATGTCAGGCAACGAGGTCACCGTCTTGCCTGACGTCATCATCAACAACTCCAAGAAAAAGCAGTACTTTTTTGAGACGACCTGCAGCAGCGGGCGGACCGGAGGTTCTGGGTGTTTGGGAATCGATGCGCGCCATTGGAACTCATACTGTACCAATTCACACACATTCGTGCGAGCGCTCACTTCATTCAAGAACCTGGTGGCGTGGAGACTCATAAGGATCAATGTAGCGTGTGTGTGTGTGCTGAGCCGAAAGTCTTGGAGACAATGACAAACTGGCTGCTTTTGAATACTCCAGCAAAAGCCTTATGATATCAAACTTGATATTCCAAATTCCTCCATGGGATGGTGGACATTTTATTTGTGCAAACCATTAATGATAACTTGTGACATAAAATATACCGTCTAAGGAGGAGATTGTCAATGGAATGAGTTGGACTTCAGAGTTTGTTTTTTTCAGTTCTTTTTTTATGCATTTCTGTCTTTTTTTAAATACTTGTTTTCTTTTGCAGCAGTAGGCCTACCTGAACATGTACATACATCGTTGTGTGTGGTAATTGTTATTTATTAAACTGCAGCATTATTGTCAAGTTTATTGTGGGTCCTTAGTCTGCATATTAGGATGGATCATTTTTAAAGCAACATTCTGGGTTAAATTCAACTTAAAATTAAAATTGTCATGATTTACTCTTTCTTGAAAACTTCAGTACATTCATTGTAATTGCATTGACATTTTGTCCTGTTTTTGTTCTGTGGAAGAAAAAAGCCATACAGGTTTGGAACGACATGAGAGCGAGTAAATGATGACAGAATTTTCATTCTTGGATGAACCTCTTGTTAACAAAAGTGAACAAAATTTTTTTGGCCCCTCCAACCACTTGTCAACATATTTTCACAGACAACTTGCCAGTCAATTTCCAATAGTTCAAAAAGTCATGTGTCATGTTAACAAAAGGTGTCTTCTATGATACACTTACTGAAGCCTAGTAGATAAGCATGCTTAAAGGGACAGTTCACGCAAAAAATGGAAATTCAGTCATTATTTATTCACCCTGTTGGTGTTAAAATGCCATATGACTTTTATTTTTAAGACCCCATATTTCCAAGTGTTCTGAGGGCATATGATAGGGTTTGGTGAAAAACACACCGAAATTTAATTTATTACTTAGCGAAAATCCTGCACAATTATTTTGGTTGTATAATCATAACACTCAAGCATTACAGGTTAGCATGACACTGGTTTGATACATTTGCTTATCACCCAGGTAAAAAAAAAGTTGAGGTTACTCTTTATTTGGTAACACTTTTTTTTAGCATTAACCATATTTTACCACTTTATTACCATAGTAATAACAGTAAATTATGCATAATTACATTTAACCCTCAACCAAACCCTAATCCAACCCTAACCCTACATGTTGTTAATTTACTGTTACTATAGTTAGTACATGTAGTAACATATAACTATGTCACCTTAAAATGAAGTGTTACCAAAGTTAAACCCAGTTAAAGGAGAACTCCGGCGCAAAATGAACCTTTGGTCTAATTACACATTGTTACCTAGTCAACCGTTATCTGAGATTTGTTTTCATGATTATCGAATGTAAATAGTTTTATCTCTAAAAACAGTTTAGCCTATAACGCTAGTATAACGCTAGTATATTGGGCATAGATCAATGACAAATAAAAATCGCTTGTTAATACCACTAACAAGGCTCAAAATAGCCCCACACTAACACGGTAGCATAATGAGGGTCCCTACCTTCAAACCGAAGCATTGAGAACTTTGTCAGTGTCCAGACAGTTTAATAAGAAGATATTTAATACATACAGTCAACTTCGCGTATACAGGCAGAAGCCATCTTTGAAATACAGCCTTTACCAGTCGATCTACGAACGCTGATCCAAGCCTGCTGTTCGCGCTCACCTTATCACAACTTATAGCTCGTTCACATCTCACCAGCGCACTTGGATCGGCGTTCGTAGATTGACTGGTAGAGACTGTATTTCAAAGATGGCTCCTGCCTGTATACGCGAAGTTGACTGTATGTATTAAATATCTTCTTATTAAACTGTCTGGACACTGACAAAGTTCTCAATGCTTCGGTTTGAAGGTAGGGACCCTCATTATGCTACCGTGTTAGTGTGGGGCTATTTTGAGCCTTGTTAGTGGTATTAACAAGCGATTTTTATTTGTCATTGATCTATGCCCAATATACTAGCATTATACTAGCTTTATAGGCTAAACTGTTTTTAGAGATAAAACTATTTACATTCGATAATCATGAAAACAAATCTCAGATAACGGTTGACTAGGTAACAATGTGTAATTAGACCAAAGGTTCATTTTGCGCCGGAGTTCTCCTTTAAACCTGCATTTGGTATTTGTGCAAGAATACCAGTAATGGACATGGAAGGAAACCAGTGATTATGTTGGTGGTAGTGTATAACCAGAACTTTATCTAACTAGAAAATTAGTCCCACCTCATACATTTACTTCATGCAAGTAACTGTAACATATGACCTTCATCTTTTTGATTTTAAATGTATAATTATTTGATATTATTTTTGAACATTAAGGAATGTCCAGATTGTTTTCTGTGGTCATCGAGCGCATGCCAAGCTGTTGACAGAGCCTAAATTGCATTTAATCTAGCATATTACTTTAAACATTTTCCAGTGTGCTTGAAGCCCAAAAAAGCCATTGAACTCTCTGTAACAACTTCAGTTTAAGCTTTCGGTTTTTTTCTGGTTTTGGTGTAAAAAAAATCCTGTGACTCAGACATGACCTTCAACCATGTGGCAGAAAAACTAAACGGTAAGGGCAAATTTGGTCAGAAGCTTTGAGTAAGCTGGAGAGTTTGTTGAATGTGTTGGTGGGGTCGACCTCACGTCTCAACAGATGTGCTTCTCACACATGGAAACGGACCTACGCTGGAATGCATTAGATGTTCTCCTTCCAGAGGCTTCCACATGATGCAACTGGCCTTGAGAGTGAAAATCGTTAAAAAGCAATTCTAACAACCACAAACAGGTGTGTCACTCCAATCAGACTCTGAATACATTTGTTTAGGCTGCATGTGGAAGTCTTAAAAAACAGATGGGCCGCGGCCTGTGATTCCCACCTCAGGTTTGATTGCGTAAACAGAGGGAGACCACATGGCAAAGGTCAGGTGAATGGCCAAATGATGAGGTCATGTCTGGAAGCCTGAAAGCCTGAAAGCCACAGGCTTAAGTCTGCGAGGTCAGGCGTCAAAGTTCGGGTGGAATATTCAACAGGATTGTTAGGTTTATCACATCACCCACAAGTGAGTCCTTCATCAGCACGTGTTTGTTTAGCGATATAGTGCGGGTCAAAAGGGGTCGTCATTTCAAACAAAATCGCGTTCACACACTCATTTGCTCTCATTAGATAATGTTTTGTGGTCATCGGCTATTTCAAACAGTTCTCGGATGAAGAATGAGAGAGAATTTTCCTCACGAAATGGAACGAACATGCCTGTCTCTGATTGTTTGTAGGACAGCTCCCTATGGAGAGTCTGCTGTGACAAATCCAAGAGAAGCCCTTTTGTTTAATTCACACAGAATATGAATGAGATTAATGAACTGTGGATGGAACTGACACACTGTGGAGATTTCAAACAAGGCTACGGCCACCCCTCAGCATGGGTAGCCTACTACAATGTAGGATTTATTGTCTTTAGAAATGTTAAAGATTCCCTAATTACATTCACATAAATCGAGATATGACTGTGTATGTGAAGTGATAAGGTGTACAACAGTAAACAGCGCGGGATGGAGCGATTCAAAAACAAACAACTGTCGCCCCCTAGTGGTTCATTCGCTCATTTACGCTTTCCAGGATGATGACGACTGTTTGCATTTTCCTCTGTAATATGAGTGAGAACAAAGTTTATGCAGACATTCTATTCCAGATGTTATTTCACTCAATTTTACTTTCAGTTACTTCAATTTACTTTCTATTGTTGTACAATACTGAACTTGTTTGAACTACAGCCTACATATTTTATCACAAGAGGGAGCACTGCTCTTACAGAACAAATTGTATCTCTATGAAATTGGTGTTAAATGAATGTAACGTTATTTATTGCTCATATACCCCATGACATGATTTTTATTGCAGCTCTATATGCTGTTTGCTTAATCATTTAAGGTTGTGCTTGATTCACGGGAAACCATGTTCCTGAGATAATTATGAATCTTTTAAATAGAAGCATTTCCACTTTGAAAACAATCATTTTTTTGTTAGCCTACTTTTCATATTACTTTTTTAAATAATGATTTTATAAATATCACTCATTATTACCCATTAAACCATTTGTCCTCAGACCATAACTCATAACATTACCATGTATGGGTGAATTTTAAAGATATGTCTTCTTCTTCTTTAGATTCACGTCCGTTTGTGTCCTAAGTACTGTATCATGTGAAGACTTTATTGATATTTAGCTGGCTGTATGATGAACTCAGATAATGGTCAAATCCTAGTTCGCTCAAGCTTAATAATGTTTTATAAACCCAAGCTCATCATTGTTGATCTCTTCTTTGTTGGCACCACTTGTGTTTTGGCATCATTGTATTAAAGCATTTTAAGGTTTATACCCAAACAGGGAAGGTTAAAGACCCTATACAACTAAATATGAGTAGATATAATATATATAATATAAAGCCTGATGTGTTTTACATTGCCATGTATAAATACTCAAACTCCCACAGGTTTGGATAAATATGAGAGTCTCTAATGAAAATGTGAGAAAGATTATCTCAAGATTATCAGTGTGTCCTGAGTTTGACCTCAGACCACAGACAATGGTGTCATGATTGTGACAGATTCATTGTGTAGTGAAACAAACCTTATGAAAGATACTCAATAAACAATACCCTGAATGTCTGACCACATAATGAAGGTGTTACTTTACACCGTAGTTTCAAACATAATGCCTAAAGCAATTATTCTAAACTGACAATCATTGTATTTTGTGTGTGTGTGTGCGCGCGTGTGCTATCTATCTATCTATCTATCTATCTATCTATCTATCTATCTATCTATCTATCTATCTATCTATCTATCTATCTATCTATCTATCTATCTATCTATCTATCTATCTATCTATCTATCTATCTATCTATCTATCTATCTATCTATCTATCTATCCACATTCAGGAAAACGCGGGAAAGAATCATTGCCCTCGCCCCCGTGTCCTGTTGGACCAATGGGCGGTGCAGATCCGCGCGCGCGCGCTCTCTCACACTGTGCACACGCGAGCAGCGCTGGTGTTGACGGTCCGTGAGTGGATTCTGCTTGAATATTACTGACCTAAATCTCTGAGACAGGCCTGCACATTTGCGCAAACATTTTGGTCGAAACGGCGAGCGCGCGAAACGAAACGGCAGGCAGGATGAGCAAAGTACAGGGCGGCATGAAATGTGTCAAATACCTGCTGTTCGTCTTCAACTTCATATTCTGGGTAAGTGCGAACAGTGCTGATGATATCTGCGTGACGATGATGTCACACATACATGCTTTGATCTATAATGAAATGCACTGACACAAGTGTACGTGCATTTGCTGTCGCCTTGTTTTCTAGGAGTTGCTCAACATCTGCATTCTGTAGGATGATTTTTCTGTCTCGGCACAATTATTATTTTTTTATTTCGCATGATGCAGGTTTCTATGGAGTCTAGCAACAACAACAACAACAGAAACACATTTAGGATGCCGATGTTTTTTAAACTACAAACAGGTGACAGATGTCGGCTCTGTCTCAATACCTAGTGAGCCGACTATCTGGACAACACTTTTGAGCCTCATAGGCACAGTGTGCAGACATTTTGAGCATCATTTGTGCATTAAAGTCGCCTCTGATGCCTCCAAAAAATGCTGTCTGCTAGATAGACAGTAGATTTTGAAACACAGCCACAATGTGCCTATATCTTAGAGGGAAGCGGTATATATTTTTATATTAAAAGTATCCATGGGCTATAAGGAAGAACGGGGCAAGTTGCACTCTTTTTTTCTCCAGTAAATATTTTTTGCGTGGATTTGTGTCAGCATGTCTCAATGGGAACTTATTGTTATTGACACTGATTTTAAAATAGTACCTTATTTTGAAAAGCCATTTACCACAATATATCTGTATTTATTAATTTAATGTAATATATTTATTAAACAATTCATATATTTATTGGCTTTTAAGCTAAATGCAAATAGTAAAACCTTCATTAGTTGACTCTTGATTGAATCATTTCTGTGGTTTTATTGTTTACTTGTTTTGCATTTTAATTAGGAGCAGATATTTTACAAAAATATTTTAGTTTTAGTTTTAACTAGGCGTTTGAAACCAACATACAAAAACCACACTTCTAGAGAATAGGCCAAGTCCATAGAAAGTACTGTGTGGATCCATAAAAAAGCATTATGGAAAGCATATATGGCTAAAGCTAAATGTGGATCATTCTATAATTTAGGGTACATTTTATGTACATTGATGATGATTATATTTTTTTCTATCAATTTTCTTTAGAAATATCATATTGTATCCATGGAGAATGCATACTATAATCTCACACAAATATTTTGTGCACCCTGTTTTTTAGTTTGCTTGAAATTGCTTTGTCCGTTCTTTGAAGTCAGTGGGTCTAGAAAACAAAATTTATTTCTAAAATCTAAAAACCTTAGAAAAATACATTGAGTTTAAATTGTAATTTTCTTTCAAATAAGAAAATGTTTAATTTTACTGTAAGCAAAAATTCTGTCAACTATATGTTACTAACCGAACACCACGAAAATCTAAAAAATGGTTTATCCAAAAACCGTATGACCGGCATCATGTGGTCTTTTTCTTCTGCGGCAGATATTTTAAGACATTATGGTAAATATCCTCTTCATTTTTTATTTTATCTCCAATATCTCTTTTGTCAAGGAGTATACTAATTGCCCGTCAACTATGTTGGGTACATTGTTATGGTTGCAATATTTTTTATGATTTTTAATTCAAGTAAATATTAAAATTTGAGGTTAACCTGATCAAGTAATAAAACATAATGCTTGGTTGGCATTGGCAAGGCTTGCCCTTGAAATTTTGAGTGAAAAGAGTGAAATTGTCAACAATGTTACCTGTCAAATAAGTTACCCTGTAGAGCCAACTCTTGAATGAAACAGTTGTTATGGTCCTACTGTGTCATCTGATGATAATGAATTATTTGTCATGGATTAGTAGTTTAATCATAATTTAACCCTACATGTCTCAGAGGAGACTGAGTGTTTATGTGCATGAGGGTGAATCAGGATGAGGAAGGATTAAGGGATATTTAACTCATTTTACTAAATTAATTATTTGCAAGTGAAAACATAAGAGATCTTCACATGTAAATGACTTGAGTGTCATTGTAACAATGTGTCCAGTCAACTATGTTTCTTGTGTCAACTATGTTACTCTCATTGACAACTATGTTTTTTTATTTAATTTTTTTACATTTTAAATAACTAGAATGCTGCATCGGATATTCTTTCAGGGTTTACATCTACACGGACTGGAGATTTGCAGAACATCTATTGAAACTATCAAAATGATCTTTAAGGAAGATTTTTGAAAATATTCTTGTCCTTAGTGAACATGCTGAGAATTTTACAGCTGCAAAACATAAAAAGGTCTTTAAATGACCTCTGTGCTTATAGCAGAATAGACCAAAGAAACGTTGAATATTTCAGTCACTTATAGTGTAGCACTTTATAAGTGTATGTAGTGGGCCTAGTGGCATACAGTTTGCTGGTAACAGAGTTTGCAAACTTACCAGAAAAAACATATTTTTATTTGTAATATCAAAATGGTGATATTGGCAACTAGCTGACGAGTTACACTGATAAAATATATAAAAAATAAACCAATAGTTGTTTTATTAAGCAGGGATGTGATTTTTCCGGATTAATCCGGAATTCCGGGGGGTGTCGGCTGCCGGAGTGAAAAGGAGAGGATATGAGGATATAACAGGCTGACGTGCGTACAGATTGTTCCTTCCTTTCAAAGTATCAACAAGCATAGACATAATAAATACATAGACGCCCTATTGGCCGCTGCAGCGTACGTCAACGGCGCCGCCATGTTGGGGATGGCAACTTTCCCATTCCTCTCATACCGGGAATTGAGATAAATGCCTGTTTTGTGCGCTGCTTGGGGCTGTACACATCGCCACACAATTGAAAACAGCTTTCGAAGAATTGCCTTTCACAAGCAAGTCTGAACGTTTGTTTTTGGTCATGATTTAATTAGTAATAGTAACGTTCAGAGGTTACATTTAAAAATACTACTGTTATTGTGTCACGAAATGTAGTTTTAATAGTTTTTCAGTCGACAATGTAGTTGTTTAAAGCTCAAATATGTGGTTTGTTTATAAAGAAAGATAGCGCCTATTTAAAAATTTGATCTGACGTTTTCGGAGTTGTGGAACAGCCGTACCTCGGCCAGTGCTTCTGAAGTTTTGCCGCTGACTCGGATGTCTGTAGTCTAGTGGTTAAACATGAGATATAATTCGTCTTGTGTATATATTTACTATTTGCATTGCACTATAGTTGTACCATAACATATGTATTATCATAAAGGATCCATCAGTTATCTTTGTTATTGCTAAAATCTGGTCAATCACAGAAAATCACACTTTTACCACAATAAGAAAACTTATATCTCAGTATGGGGGTCTTCACCATTCTTATCCAAGAATAAAAAGCCAAATACATGACAAGCCTGAGCTTTGACCATTCTTTATTAAAAAAAAATATTTTACAAGTCTAACTATCGAGATTTTAAATAACTAGAGATGGAACTTTTTGTACACCACATACAAACCACTGAAATCGTTTGATAAATGTAAAAACAGTTTGTTTTTATCCAGAAAAAACGCAGCTCACCCGTTTACTTACATTTGATTACAGTGCAGTCTTGCCCTCCGCAAAATGGCGGACCCGTTGACGTATCGCAGCAACGTTCCAAAGCGGCCAATAGGGGGTCTATGTATTTATTATGTCTATGTCAACAAGGACGTATTTGCGTTCAGCTTGTTCACCTGCTCAATTTCGTACCTCAGTCGCTCTCGCGCTACAGTGGTATCGTTGTCAGTTGACAAGAACATCGCCGTTAGGCCACCAGTAGGGCTGGGCCAGACTGATCTCATGAAATGGCGTATGTATGACACGCCAATTCGTATTTCCATTTTTGGCGTGCTATCAACACGCATAATCGCTTTTCAGCGTGTTTATCAACGCCTTTGACTTAACGTTATATTACTGTATTATGTACATATAAATATATGACCTACCCCAACCCCGTCCCTAAACCTACCCGTCACTGGGGTTAATACCATTTATGAGTCTTCTCCTACCATCCTAGGAAAAGAAATATCGCTCCACAGATGTAGAATATAGATTTTGCTTCGTTTCGCTCGGACATTTAACGGCGTACACATACACGCGGAATCACTCGGACGTTTAATGGCGTAGACATACACGCAAAAGATTTCGGCGTGGACATACACGCGGATAGCTCAAAATGCGTATAGATAACACGCCACTTGAATTGAAAGTGGCGTGTATGTTTACGCAAAGTCATGATGTCATGTTGGCTGGGCGATATATCGATATAGTTCAAATTTGCGCTATAATCCTTGCTCCAAGCAAGCTGCTGACTGCTTTTGTAGAAATATGTACAGGTCCTTCTCCAAAAATTTGCATATTGTGATAAAGTTCATTATTTTCCATAATGTAATGATAAAAATTTAACTTTCATATATTTTAGATTCATTGCACACCAACTGAAATATTTCAGGTCTTTTATTGTTTTAATACTGATGATTTTGGCATACAGCTCATGAAAACCCAAAATTCCTGTCTCAAAAAATTAGCATATCATGAAAAGGGTCTCTAAACGAGCTATTAACCTAGTCATCTGAATCAACTAATAACTCTTAACACCTGCAAAAGATTCCTGAGCCTTTTAAAAACTCCCAGCCTGTTTCATTACTCAAAACCGCAATCATGGTTAAGACTGCCGACCTGACTGCTGTCCAGAAGGCCATCATTGACACCCTCAAGCAAGAGGGTAAGACAGAAAGAAATTTCTGAACAAATAGGCTGTTCCCAGAGTGCTGTATCAAGGCACCTCAGTGGGAAGTCTGTGGGAAGGAAAAAGTGTGGCAAAAAACGCTGCACAACGAGAAGAGGTGACCGGACCCTGACGAAGATTGTGGAGAAGGACCGATTCCAGACCTTGGGGGACCTGCGGAAGCAGTGGACTGAGTCTGGAGTAGAAACATCTAGAGCCACCATGCACAGGCGTGTGCAGGAAATGGGCTACAGGTGCCGCATTCCCCAGGTCAAGCCACTTTTGAACCAGAAACAGCGGCAGAAGCGCCTGACCTGGGCTACAGAGAAGCAGCACTGGATGTTGCTCAGTTTTGCATGTCATTCGGAAATCAA